GCCACCTCCCGCGGGCCGTCTGCGCCCGATCCCCGGGCCCCTTGCCGCCCGGAGGCGGGCGGCCGCACGCCGCCGGCACGCGCGCGCCGGCCGCCCCCCGCCGTGTCTGCCCCCGACGCCCTGGCGGGGGGCGGTTCGAAGGGGGGGCGAGGAGGGTCAGAGCCCCGAATCATCAGGGGTAACTCGGGTCAGGGTTAGCTCGGGTTCCTTCTCCGGGGATCCAAACCCGAGTTACCCCGGGCCCGAGTTACCCCGGAGAACTTGGGCGCCCAGGGAGGCAGGATGGCAACTTCGCTGCCCCGACACGCAGCACGCAGCACGTGGCGTATTGCTGCGGAGTTCCACGCGCAGGCCGTAAACGGAACGCGTGGGTCTGACGCGAGGCGTTCGCCAATGCGTGGGCCAATACGTCGAGCCAACACGTAACGTATTGACACGGGCGTTTTGAGCACGTGTTGCGTAGCCAAACGGGCGTATCGAGCCAGGCCCCGACCCCGTCCCTAGGGGTGCTTTTCGTCCTGGGCCCCTTTTTGATGGCCCCCTGGCCCAAGAGCAGGGGCCCGGAGGTCGAAATCCAGGAACTGGGCGCCCGAAGGAGGAGGAGGAGGAGGAGGAGGAGGAGGAGGAGGAGGAGGAGATGGAAGAGGAGGAGGAGGAGGAGGAGGAGGAGGAGGAGGAGGAGGATGCCCAACAACAGATGTTTTCCAAAACCGGCAGCGGCTGCTGTTGGGCAAGCGGCTTTATGCCTTCAGTGAACAACGTCCGCGGCAGCGCGGACAGCGGGTCCCGCTCAAAACGAACAGAGACTGCTGTTGGGCATCGTACCCATTCTTTCCGTACCCATCTGGGTCGCCCCGATCTGGGTAGTTTTGGGGAAACCAAAAGGTACCGATACCACTGCTCCCCTGACCTCTCCAGGGGTGCGTTCTGACAGGGATTTTGAGGCGAATCCAGCGGCGGCGACGAGGGCCTCCCAGGAGGCCCCGACCAGGGAAGGAGACGGGCGAAGGATAGCGGCATGAGCACCTTCTCCTCCTCGGAAGTCTGACGATGGGCCACGTCTGGCACCTGGCCAGCGGCGTGCGGTCGCCTTTGCCTCCTCGGGCCTTGGCATCGATCTCCTTCACGAAGGGCGGGTCACCCTCCATTGTGCCGCGCGCGCCCGGGGGGACGCGCGCGCGCCCAGGGGGAGGCGGGAGGCGAGGCGCGCCGCGCCGGCCAGAGAAAAAAAAAGCTGGCCGGCCTGAGGAGGAGGGCGTCGCGAGGGAGGGGGGGCATGTCGAAACCAACGTGGGCCTTACCTGGCGGGGAGAGGAGGAGGCGGAGGAGGCGGGAGAGAAATCCAATCAGGGGGTTCCCAGAGGTCCCCACGGATTTCCTCAGAGGTCTCCAGAGGTCGCGCAGGCATATCCGAAGGTCTGTGCAGGGCTCCAGAAGGCTCAAGGAGGGTGGCTGGAGAAAGAGAGACAGAGAGAGAGAGAGAGAGGAAGGAGGGGGACGCGAGGGAGGTATGTGGAGGGAGGGGGAGGGAGGGGATGAGAAAGGACTCTTAAAGATGGTGACGAGGACTGGGAAGGGAGAGGGGGATGGAGAGGGAGGGATGGAGAGGGAGGGATGGAGAGGGATGGGAGGAGGAGGAGGAGGAGGAGCAGGAGGAGGAGGAGGAGGAGGAGGAGGACAACCACACCGAGGATAATGAGGATGAGCCAACATGAGGCACTACTCGGATGAGGATGACCCGGGAATCTCTGAGAGCCAGTGGTCGGGGATGGACAGACCCCCCTTTAGCAAAAGGTGGTTCAGTGAGAACGACCTCGGGCCCAAACCTGGCTGGGCGCTAGCCTGGAAAATGACGGCCGCGGCGCCCTCTCGAGAACCGAAAACGGCCAATCCACTGCTCGACGCGTCACTGTTGGGGGTTCTGTCCACCCCCGACTGAAGAGGGATCTTGGACGGAGGGATGATTGCAACATTGTTGATGCGTCAAGGATTTGCGCGTGCCAACTGGTCCTCCTCCTCCTCCTCCTCCTCCTCCTCCTCCTCCTCCTCCTCCTCCCCCCTGTCCTGGTCTTCCTCCCCTCCCCGGTGCACGCACGGGGGCGGAAGGTCGCGTCAGGGTGGGGGCTCTGCCCGCCCCCGAAGCGGGCCTGGAGGCTGTGCCAGGCGCGGCCGCTCCAGGGCGCTCCTGGAGTGCTCCGGGAGCGCCCCGGAGCCCTCTGGGGCGATGCCTCCCCATCCTTCTCCTCCTCCTCCTCCTCCTCCTCCTCCCTCCTCCTCCTCCTCCTCCTCCTCCCCTTCTCCTCCTTCTCTTCCTCCTCCTCCCCTTCCTCTCCCTTCTCCCTCCTGCCGCTCCTCCTCCTCCTCGTTCTCCTCTTCCGCTCCTTCCTTCCTCCTCCTCCTCCCCCTCTCCTTCTCTGATGAGAAAAAGCTGTGGAGAGAGGGGAGGAAAGTGGGAGCAGAGAAGGGGCGGCCATCTGGCGTCAGGGAGGAAGGCGCACGAGAGGGAGCATGGGGATCGCGGAGACTGATGCTCCTTGGCGCTGGGAATGGTGAGTCTGTATTCGCTCGGCCGTAACCCTTCCAGACTCTATGGCCTACGCCGTCGGGGTTGCCCTGATCAGGGTTGCCTCGCCGCTGCGCTACGACTCTTGCCTGTCGTTGTCCTTCCTCTTCACCTCGTTGGCCAGCGCCCGCGGCATCCGCGCGACTGGCGTGGGCGGGGCCTCAGCACAGCGGTAGAAGAGCACGTAAGGATTGTCGTCCTTCTTTTTCTCCTGCTGCTCGCCCGACAAGAGCGCCATGTCGGCCGGCTTCACCTAGGCGGCGCGCCCCGGGGGGAAGTGAGAAGGGGCGGGCTTTCTCAGAAGGCTCGGAAGTCCCCCGGACTTCTGAGAAGGTTTTTAAGCCTTCCCCGAAGACACAAGAAAGCCTCTGAGAAGGCGCGGGGGCTTCTGAGAAGTCCCGCCGCCTTCTGACAAGGCCTTCTCCTTCTCACTTCCTCCCCCCGCTCCCCGCCGATCACCTGCGAATCATCCATGGTCATCCACGGATTATCCTGCGAGGCCGTCGGCTCCGACCTCCTCCCCATCGCGTAGTAGTGGCCGCTGGTGGCGGTCTGGCCAGAATGAAAGATCACAAAGTACAGCTCGTACCTGAATTGACCAATCTGGACACCGCCGTCAACACGAATGGGCGTCTTCTCCTTTCGGCGGCGAACAAGGGGGGGAAGGGGGGGAAATGAGAAGGATAAGGCCTTCTCAGAAGGCGGCGGGACTTCTCAGAAACCCTCGTGCCTTCTGAACAGTTTTTTTTTGTCTCTGGCGAAGGCTCAGACAACTTCTCAGAAGGCCTTCTCCTTCTCACTTCCCCCCCTCGCTCGCCGCCGATCCTTTGTGAAGTCGCACGTCTTCATGTTGAAGGTGAAACGGTTGAGGCAGATGCAGAGGTGCGCGGGGGGGGAGACGATCTCGGCCCACTTGCCGACAGGCTGCTTCTTCTGGCACGTCTCGCACTCGAGCAGGGCGTCGTCGTCAAGCCTCTCGAACTTGAGACGCTCGTCCAGCAGCATCTGCGTGGTGGGGATGGTACCCCACGCCTTGGCCTCCTCTTCGGGGGGCACGGTCAGCACCAGGTCGGAGAACGTCTCTGGTCGGCTCTTCACGTGCCCGCACACCTGGCACTGCGTTTTCTCGGCCAGCTCGCCCGCGAACACCTCGCGAATGAGTGCCTGCTCGAAGCCGCCCAGCTGGTCGAACACGAACCGGATGGTCTCCGTGACATCCTGCTGCTCGCCGCTGCGGTAGATGTCTGGAAAAGCCTGCAGGAGCTCCCAAATGTCGGTGTGCTTGTGCTTCG